TTTAAATAAGTATTGAAATAAATGTGTGACGTCTGGAAGGAATTTGTAGCTGCAGAGTTGAGACTCATAAATTTTTACAACCTTTGGGATAAATATAGTATCTTATCTCTATAGGAATAGATAATAATTAGACAGAGTGTTCCAGTAGGCACTACAGTCTACATTTGTGATTTCTCTTTATTTTGGACTCACTTTCTTTTTAAGCTACTTGTTGTATAGTGGGACAAATGCATATAACACAATGTTAGATGATAAGGAATATTTAACATTTGCAAGTGACAGCAAATTGTGGGTTAGCTGAGTAATTTGTGAGCACAAGTGTGTCTGTAAATGAATTGAGTCATTCCTCAACCTGCAAAATTATCTTTAGCAGTACCGGATTCTAGTGCTTGGTTCTTAGTTTTGCACGGGGGCAAGGAAGCATGACACAGTATACCGGAAGATCCAGTTAGTTAGCCTTCTTGTTCGCTCCATGGGTCAAAACCTGAAGCTACAGTAGCAGATGTGACTCATGGTTCATACAGGCAATTATTAATTTCTTTTAACTGCCCTATTTTGGCGTGGTCCTGGCATATTCTTTCTGTGTTTAGTCATAACTGACGAATGAATGTTTACAGTGTATGTTGTGTAAGACTTCTTTGAAGTATTACAAAAATATGCCCATAAAACTTTTAAGAATAAATGACATTTAGAATAACAAGAAGAAGGAAAAACAGTTTGCTCTCCAACAGTCAGTTACTTGACATAAAAAGAAAGGAATGCTTTCGGGGTTCACCTGTTGTGTCCAAATATTTACTTTCCATGTTTTATTTATTTAAACTTTGGGCAACTTTAAGTTAGCGTTAACTGTCACGGTGATACATTTGTAAAACGGAGACAATGCGACATTAAATCTCAGATCAGCAAAATAGTCAAAATGTCTGGTTATTAGCAGAGAGTAGTTTATGGCTGTTACTAGTAAATTTGTTATGTGGCTACAGTAAATAGTTATAGGACTAAGAAGACACTAGAATAACAAGAATACGTCTAATTGCTTCTTCCTCAACTTTCTCTATGAAATCCTGTGACTTGATGAAAATCTGATAAACCATTTTTCCTTTGCTTGTGTGTTTTATAGTCCTGTTCAACATGCACGACACAGACAATGATGGCATTATTACACTGGATGAGTACAGGACGGTAAGAGAAATGAACCATGCACACACTAGCATACACAATAGCTGCTGATAAGAAGCCTAGAGTAAAAATCCCAACACAGAAACATTTAAACGGAGGACATAACATAACAAACTGAATTATTGTAAACATTAAAGTCACTTTAATTACTTTAATATAGCTCAAATTATTTATAGAGCTTTTTTTTTTTTT